ATGGAATTTAGAAAGATGGTAATGATGACCCTATATGCAAGACAGCAAAAGAGACACAGATGTAAACAACAGACTTTTGTACTCTGTGGGAGAAGGCGAGGGTGGGATGATTTGAGAGAATAGCATTGAAACATGTATATTATCAATTGTGAAACAGATCGCCAGGCCAGGTTTGATGCATGAGACAAGTGCTCAGGGCAGGGGCACTAGGATGACCCAGAGAGATGGGATGGGGAGGGAGGTGGGAGGGGGGTTCAGGATGGGGAACACATGTAAATCCATGGCTTGTTCATATCAATGTATGGCAAAAACCATGACAATACTGTAAAGTAATTAGCCTCCAACTAATATAAATAAAAGAAAAAAACAGAGCAAACAGGAAGGTAAATACAAAACAAAAAAAGACACTTCTTGTCCTAAATCAGACAGAAAAAGACAAATACTGTATGATCCCACTTATGTGTGGAATCTAGAAGAGCTGAACTCATAGAAACAGAGAGTAGTATTATTAGATTAGTGGTTTTCAGGGGTTGGGGGTAGGGGAAATAGGGAGATATTGGTCGAATGGTACAAACTTTCAGTTAAAGAATGAGTAAGTTCTGGAGATCTGTGTGCTGTGCTGTGATAAGTCGTTTCAGTCACATCCAACTCTGTGACCCCATGGACTGTAGCCCACAAGGTTCCTCTGTCCATGGGATTCTCCAGGCAAGAATACTGGAGTGGGCTGCCATGCCTTTCTCCAGGGGGTCTTCTGGAACGTTAATGTATAGCATTATAACTACAGTTAACAAGATTGTATTATAGTCTCAAAAGTTCCTAACAGAAACAGTTTGAATGCTACCACCACCACCAACAAAACAAAGGCTTCTATGTGACGTGATAGATGTATTAACTAACCTTACTATGGTAATCATTTCATAAGATATACATATATCAAATCATCATGTTATACAACATAAACTTATACAATGTTATTTGTCAATTATATCTCAAATAAAGGTGGGGGGAGAAAAGACACTTCTCCCTATGGTCATAAAAAATTCCTTCTTTGTAACTTAAAACTTCCCTAACTTGTTTTGTACATTTAGATCTTCAAACCATCTGTAATTTATATACAGCAAATTATAAATCTTTATTCCCAAATAACCACATGTTTCAACCCCATTTGCTGAATATAAATTCCTTTCTATACTAATTGACAAAGTTATTTTTGTTATGAACTAAATTTCCAATAAACACATGGTCAGCTTCTAAATTCTCTGACATTCTGCAAATCTATTTGCTCATCCCTAAAGCAATACTTTGCCAACAAAGGTCCATATAGTCAAAGCTATGGTTTTTCCAGTAGTCATGTATGGATGTGAGAGCTGGACCATAAAGAAGGCTGAATGCTGACGAATTGATGCTTTCAAATTGTGGTGCTGGAGAAGACTCTTCAGAGTCCCCTGGACAGCAAGGAGATCCAACCAGTCAATTCTAAAGGAAATCAACCCTGAATATTCACTGGAAGGACTGATATCAAAGCTGAAGCTCCAATACTCTGGCTACCTGATGCGAAGAGCCAACTCATTGGAAAAGACCCTGATGCTGGAAAAGACAGGGCAAGAGAAGAAGAAAGCGACAGAGGATGAGATGGTTAGATGGCATCACTGACTCAATGCACATGAGTCTGGGCAAATTTAGGGAGATAGTGAAGGACAGGGAAGCCTGGCGTGCTGCAGTTCGTGGGGCTGCAGAGAGTCGGACATGACTTGGTGACTGAACAACAACAACAAAGCAATACCATACCACTTTAATTACTATAGCCTTAACATATGCTGATGTCTGCAGGTGCTAAATCACTGGTAAAAATAATTTTTGGCTATTCTTGCACTTTCTTTGATTCTAAAACTCTTATCTGCAGGTTTATAAAGACCTCCATTAAGATTTCTATTAGAATTTCACAAATTTATAAATAAGTTAGGAGATACTGCCTTATTTCTGTTGGGTCTACTGCTAAAATGCCAGCTCTAAGTGAGCCCTTCCCTTGACCATCCTATATGAGGCTAGCACTCTCTATTTTCCTTAGATTTTTTTTAGAGCATATTACCATCTGACATATTGTATAATCTATTTTTTTCTGGTTTCCTTTTCACCACCCCCCCGACTTACCCTTTAATAAAGTGCCAGAAAAGGGGGGACCTTCATTTGTTCACAGCTCTATCTGCAACTCACATAACATATAGAGTGAACTTTCAAATATTTATAGAGTAAATGAATCTTCAGAAGTGAATACTCCAAACCAGGAATGTAGTATTTGTTTGTAAGGTCTTCTTTTTGCCTTTCAATGAAGTTTTAAGGTTTTCTTTACATGGGCCTTATACTTTCAGTTTTACTTGGAAATATTTTATACTTGGATATTCTTTAGAGTAAAACTATTTTTCCATTTTTGATGTAATGCTATGACTTGTATATGTTGCTCTTGCCACATTTATAAATCTAGCCACCTTTATCTGGTTAAGAAAGATTCCTTCTTTTTCTATCTTAGTATGCTTCAGAAGGAAGCACAAGCTAGTCTTTGAGTGTACTTTTCATTTGATGTAATGCTATGACTTGTATATGTTGCTCTTGCCACATTTATAAATCCAGCCACCTTTATCTGGTTAAGAAAGATTCCTTCTTTTTCTATCTTAGTATGCTTCAGAAGGAAGCACAAGCTAGTCTTTGAGTGTACTTTTCATAATTCTAAGGGTACTTTGCAAGACTCCATGCTATGTATGTCATTCTGACATAGGGCTGAAATAAGAGACACTGGAATGAGACTTTGTTTTCTTTATTTTGCAGCCAAAGCCACCAAATTTTCTTCTAAGAGAAGACAGTTCTTACCAGGATATGTAACAGTGTTCTAAAACTGCAGGTAGCAACCTAAAGGTAGATCATGGCCGTCATTTAAAAAGTGAATCTGACGATTATTAGCACCTATCATACAGATTAAGGTAAGTACTGGTTTATGATATTTCTGTTGTATATAAATGTGTGATAAGAAAAATGTAGAGTCAGTTAAAAAAAACAAACTTGCAAATACAATGCAATAGGAGATGTACTGAGAAGAGAAACTTAGCAAGGATGGGAGGAGAAAGTAAACAGGAAGACAAGAAAAAGGAAGGAAGTGATAGCAAGCAAGTTCTAAGACGTATCATGTATGTGTGAGTCAGCAAAGGCCTCCGTGGGCCACTGAAGTAGACAAGAGAAGGAAGAGTTCTAAGGAAAAACTACACACTTCCCCTTCTCCTAGGAAATAAAATGAAACTGAACTATTTGGGGAAAAAAAATTGCTTTTACTCATTTTATCCAAGATTATTTTCCTGAGAGGTCTTAAACATTAAAATTTGGAATGTTTTGCTTTAAAGTAACATTACAAATAATTCTTACCTTGCTCTCTCTTTCTAGTTCACTTCGCAGCCATTCAAAGTCACTGTATCTTCTTCTAACGGTAGATTCCTTCAGCTTGAAAATAGGCAGATTTGTCTGAAACAAACAAAAAAAATCACTTCTAAACTGAAGCATATTATAGGGATTTCAAACAGCTGGGAGTAGGGCAGAATCTATTGTCAAAGTGATAAAATGATAAGCCCAGTTACCTTAAGATAAGAAAATCATAAAAGTTATTAATATGACATTTTACCTTTAATAAAGCTTAGCTGTTAAAAAGTATGTGACATATACCAGAATACAATTTTTTAAATGCACATTTGTACATATGCTTTTGGATGTCATTCTTTCTGAGGTCAGTTACATAAATACAGGTCATTTTTTCTATTTTCAGTACGTGGTAAAAATGTCATAGGAGTGAGATGAAGCCAGTTCTGATTGCTATACAGTTTAGTATACAATGCTTATAGGGAAAACAGAGCTTTACGAGCTTGAAATGAAATACAAAATATTTTGTTATTATGACTAGAAGTTTCATAATGAAAGAAAAGAATAAAGGACGATTACTCTTAATGGTCTTCTTAAAAAAGCCAAAAAACAGCAGGGAGAGAGTGCAATGTGCTCTTACTGTCAACAGGAAATCAGGAGTCATACACATAAGGTTCAGAGCTTTCAGACTGAGGGCAACTTTAGGAACTGAAAACATAATGCCCAGTACTTTAGGGTACATCAGAATGGAAGACTGTTCTTTACAAGAAAGACCACTTCTGTCAAATTCTAAACTTAAAGAATCAAGAATAGATTTTAAATGCACATATCACAAAAGTTGGTGCAAATAACCTAACATAATTAATGTCATAATATACTGAAAATGCTATTTAATACTATACACTCTCAGATTATATTTTGTTCTTTATCCAGTCTTTGCACTTGTAGAACCACAAACTGTATTAAAAGTTGAAAAGAAAAAGTGCCACCGGAAGGAAAGATTGACTTCTTAACAGAGACATCATCATCATCATGTAAAATTCCCCTTAAGAAAATTCCAATCACTTGTTAAACTTAATGCCCTAGTAAGTGTCATTTAGTAAAAGAAAGCTTTTTATTCAGGACCTTAAACCTGTTTTGTAGTGGTTTCAATTTTTTCCAACGTGTATTAACTTCTCTATGTTGTACACCTTATAGCTTGGAATCTTCTACAGATGCTATTGGGCATAACACTGTATAGATTTCAAGCATGAAACCAAATCTCACAAGAGGTTTAAAAGCACTTGAATTTTCTTTCCCAGGTAACCACAACATTTGTTCATTGTATTAATGACTAAGAGCAAAATTGCACCTAACAAGACTCTTATTATACTAAAAGTCAAGCTTATATTTAGAGATGCTGGCTTGCTGTACAAGAGGGGTATTCTCATTACCCACAGGGAATAAAATTAGGTCCCCTGGAGAGCAAGATGGTAATTCCCAGAAAGAAAGCACTGGATTATTTCTCTCTAATTTCATCCATTGGCTTTTTAACCAAGTTCACCCTTCCACACTAAAATATTAAGTCTTTGTAAGTGTCTAAAGATAGAAAGGCCTTCACAGAATAGAGTGTTTTCTGCAGGTGAGATTTTACATTTTGAATTCCCTCCTCTCAAATTACCTTACAAAAGGGATTAGCTGCTCTCTTTATTCAGTATGTTAAGATCAAGCTTGTGAAAAGAGTTCCCTAAGAATTTTCATACTTCTGGGTACGGAAGTCTATAAAGTTAATCTCTGAAACAACATATCAAGCTTACAGGTACAATGCTGAGGGAAGAATGCCAATTCAGCTCATTTTACCTCCATTTTCCCTTTTGAACTTTTGACACAATCATGATTATATCTGATTCACTCTAATAGATGGGTAGTAGGAAGGAGAAAAAGTCCACTCCTTTCTATGACTAGGTAATAGATTGAAGATCATATATTAAAAAAGAATCATGGTTAGTTTAAGAAAATGTCATAGTTTTCTCAGCTGTCTATTTTTCTTTATATGAAGACTGCTTTAGAGTTTTGATAAAGTCATATCAAGTAATTTTATTATTTGCCTACTACATTTAGAGTGGTAAGTGTGCCTGTTAACTTCTCCTTGATCATCACCAGGACTTTCAATTCAAACTGATCAGCATACAAATAAAAGATGCTGAGGTTTTTTTGTTTAAGCCACTGAACTACCACTTTAATTACAAACACTCAGGATTGGTAACTTTCAACCTATTTAGCCCTTATAAAATATTGTATTTTAGTTTTTCTAAAGAGAAAAGAGTAAGAGTAATGTTTTTCTCCTACAGTTTTGGAAGGATTCAACTATTATTACAGTTTAAGAACATCTACAAAAGGGCATAGTGCTATATAAGATGGGGAATATAATGATGAGTAAGATGCAGTCTTGGCCCTTATGAAACTTATATTTGGTTATAAGCAAATAGTATAAAAATACTATACATCATCAACAAAAACAAAGTTGAAAGACCACAAATTGTAGACAAATATCTGCAATATAAAACAAAGAGATTAACGTTCAGCTTCACTCACACAAGAAATGACAGTCAAAACAGTAAGATCCCATTTTCATTTATCAGACAGGCAGGTATTCAATTTTAATATCCAGTGATGGTGAAGATAGATAGGCATCTAAAAAACTTACTGCTAATAGTGAAAACAACCTTAAAGAAGGGCGTTTTGGTGACATCCATCACTCTTTTAAATGCATATTATCTTTTGAGCCAAAGATTCAACCAAGAATTATCCTATGAATATTTCCACATATGCAAAAAGGTATTAGTGCATAGAAATTCACTTGAACATCATTTATATAATAGCAAAAAAAAAAAAAAAATCCCAGAAACTGAAAATCTTATTAAACTGCTGCAAATATAAAATGAAATATTATATGCTTTTACAAAACGTAACTCAGCCAAAGACTGATCAGGAAGGTTCCCTGAGATGTGTTAAGTATAGGAAGTTTCAGAACAGCATCTGTATGATACCATTTGTATAATTTTTTTTAAAAGCATAAAGGAACTGATAATTGACTTGGTCAGTATTCTTTTAACATATGGAGTCAGTCATACTACAGGAAGACAGTTGAAAACAATGAAATACCATGAACTACATGCAGAGAAGAAAACAGTGTATTCAGGAAGTAATTCTTGAACATGCTAAACCATAGGAGATGGTGGGAAATAAAGCTGAAAGTCTGAATATCTGGCTAACGTATCTCCCTGTAAGCACCAGGAGTTAATAGACATCTCTGAACAGGAATATATCTTTAAAAAAAAAAAAAAACAGAGAAGTTATTACGAATTCAACAGATTAGCCACATACACACCAAAGAGCAGCATGGAAAGCTGGCTCATCCTTATTACGCACAAGAGCATTATTTATTCATTTTCAGTAACCATGTATGATACTAGATATTAACTAGACTTATTTTTACAATGTATACAAATATCAAATCATCATGGTGTACACCTGAAACTAATATGTCAATTATTCCTTAGAAAGAAAAAGGGCTGGTTCTAGTTAGTTTTAAGTTTTAACTGCTTGAAGAGTATGGGGAAGAGACAGGCTGAGGCAAGTTATAGCAAAAATTCTTTAAAGTTTTTCTTTTGGATATCATTTAAAATGCTTCTGATTTATCCAGAGAGAAATAAGGCTGAATTCTGAAATTAAATGTAAATCAGACTTAACAATGTGAAGATGACTAAAACTTTTGAAACTTAAAAGGCAAGATTTAGTATGTTCTCATCCTTACATTCAAATTTTATTTTTAAAAAAGTTGCTCTAGTTTCTCAAGCTAAGCATAAACTAGAAACTACTATTTTCCTCCATCTATAGGTCATTTTACCTAACAGGTGAAAGTGTCAAACTCATCCATTTATATGAAATAACAGCATTTGAGGAACACTGACCTCAGACAGGCAAAACTAAAGCCAATCATTAGGCAAAAACCATAAACTAAGCCACACCTGGCAGCTATTTCTGTAGGTGTGTGATATTAGTGAACGCTCAAAATGAGTTTGAGTAACCTTAGTCTATTTTAGACTTTTCAATTCCATTCATGGAGTTATGAATGTCTGGCAAAGCAAAGACAGAGGTACCTATAAACATTTACATTAACCATTGTCATATATATAAGAAATTGCAAATTAAAAATAATTTAAACCTATGTCAGGGCTGTGGCCAAAACTAACATTTAAAAAGCAGAGAATTATAATCATTTGCCCCCCAAAAAGTTAAATTGGCTGCTTGGAATCTATAAAGTCTATAAAAACTATTTTATTCTACATTCAAAATATACTTCTGTTAATCATTATAAGCCAAATCCTAGTTAAATGTCACCACTATTTAATAACATTTTTGGGGAAAACTGTAACACAGTTGTAACTGTGTTTTAACTGTAACTATGTGTGGGTGCTCAATCACTGAGTCCTGTCCAACTCATTTGCAACCCCAGGGAATATAGCACACCAGGCTGCTCTGTCCATGGGATTCCCCAGGCAAGAATACTAAACAGGGTTGCCATTTCCTTCTCCAGGGGATCTTCCCAACCCAGGGATCGAACCTACATCTCCTGTGTCTCCTGCATTGCACGTGGATACTTTACCACTGAGCCACCTGGAAAGCCCTAACTATAACACAGTTTTAACTATATGTACAACATAGTGATTCAAGATTTTTTAGGTATTATACCCCATTTAAAGTCATTATAAAATACTGGCTATATTCCTTGTGCTATACTATATATCCCTGTAGCTTATTTATACTATATATGCCTTGTTATCTCCTTAAGTCTTCTTCAATCTAGAGCAATCCTCCTGTCCTTTCGCCATTTAAGACAGTGACAATTTTAAAGAGTGCAGGCCAGATATTTGAGAGAGATTATATCCCTTAGTTTGTCCTTTTCCTCATGACCAGTTCCATGCCGTTCATCTTTGTCAGGAATGTTCCTATCGGCAGGAATACTGAAGCCTTCTCAGTACCCCACATCAGAAAGAACACGATGTCAGCTTGTCCTCTGTTCGCTCATTTGGTGAAGGTGAGGTCAGTTAGATCTCTCTCATGTA